ATGTAGTGCTTTTGATTGATTGATTGATTGGCCGTGATTGAGGGCCTTCTGTGCGTGGGTTGGTGTGGGCTGTGTGTGTGTTCGTATGCGTGTGTGTGTATGTGTATGTGTATGGTAGGTGTGTGTGTGTGTGTGTGTGTGTGTGTGGTGTGTGTGTGTGTGCGTGTGTGTGTGTGTGTGTGTGTGTGTGTGTGTGTGTGTGTGTGTGTGTGCGTGTGTGCCGTGCGTGCGTGCGTGCGTGCGCGTGCGTGCGCGTACGTGCAGGAGTACTTTGGTATCATAATTGGCTTTTAAGAGTGCGCAAGAGACGGTCAACTGGAATTAGTATTTTTAGCGAAACGCGCCAAGCGATTCGATAAAAAAATGAAAAAGAGAGAGAGAAAAAAAGCTGAATTCGAAATTGCCATCGATTCAATCCTCGCGCTGAAATATGAAAAAGAAGAAAAAGACAGACAGAAAGAGCAGAAGTTAATAGGATCTGGATAAAAGAAGAAAGAAAAAAAATGTTTATATATTTATATCGAGAAGCAGTTTCAGATATTTTTATTTTGTGCGTGTAGGAAGAACGCCAACCGTATTAATTTAAAGTGTAAATCGCTTCTCTTTTCTCAGATTTAAAAAGATATATTTTTCTTCTCTTTTCGGTGGTAAACGTTTTTTCTGATTCTGATTCGAGGTCGAGTGTGTGAATTTAACGAGGAGAATTTACTTTATTATTATTATTGTTGTTATCACAATTGCTATTATTATTATTGTTATTATTTTTATTATTATTATTATTATTATTATTATTGTTATTATTATTGCTATTATTGTTATTTTTATTATTATCATTATCATTATTAATATTATTATTGTTAAAGATAGGAGCGAGGATTCGATTCTACCCATGATTATATAGTGATGATGACTCTGATGATGCTAATCAAAATATTAATAGTAATTATGTTATCACAATAGATTATATTTATACCAATCACATCTAAACTCGTGCAGACCCTTCACACCCCCCCAAAAAAAAGTAAAAAAAAAAGATAATAAATAGATAAATGAATAAATGAAAACAACCCAGACATCAAGCAATAAAAAAAGAAAGAAAGAATGATAATAATAAATAATGATATAAGATGATTTAAAGAAAATAAAACTCAAACAACACCCCCCCTCCAAAAAAGGCGAAAAAAAGACAAAAAACAAAGACAATTTACCTATATAACAACACCAACACCCCCCTTCCCCCACCCACACCACCCAAAAAAAGATGATAATAACAAAAATCAAAGAAAAGAGAGTATATGAAGCCCCCCCCCCAAAAAAAAAAAAATAATAATGATAATAGCAACAATAACAATAATGAAATGATGAATAATGATAATGAAATAAAATAATAATGAAATGATGATAATGATAATGAAATGATAATAATGATAATGAAATGATAATAATGATGATGAAATGATAATAATAATGATGATAATAATAATAATGAAATGACAATAGACAATAATAATAATAATAATGATAAAAACGAAAGCAAAACTCAAAACTCGAGACCCGGCGGCCGCGGACAGCCCGAGTCAGTCCACCTCTTTACAAGCTCAACAAGTGTACTCCTCTCGTTTACTTCTGAGTTACGTGTGATTGGGGACATCCTTCCTTAGCTGGGGGTCACTTATCAGAATAAAAGGGCGGGTCGGCATGGGCGTCTCTGGGGGAGGGGGGTGGAGGGGGAGGGGGAGAGGGTGGAGAGAGAGAGGGTCGTTCTGATTGGCATCGGGGTTGGTTTGGGGGAAGGGGTATGTGGCGGGGGGGGGGGTTTTTTTGTTTGTTTTGTGTTTGTTTTGTATTGGTTAGAAAGGCTGTTTGTTTGGAAAGGTGTGGAGGATCTTGTATTATTTGTTTGTTTGTTATTTGGTAAAGTGTGGAGATTTTTTTGTTTGTTTATATCCTTGTAATAAGGTATGTGGCTAAGATTTTTCTTATTTATTGATTTATTTATCTATTTACTTGTTATTTGGTAAGTGGTGATCTTTTTTCCGTCGTATGTTAATTCATTTATTTGTTGTAAGGTAAGTGGCGGAAAACCTGATACCCTTTTCTAAGATTTACCTCTGGGATTGTGTCCTGTCTCATATCTTGCATTTTTCAATTGCTCAAATGGATCTTGAGGTTTGACTTCCCTCTCCATACCATCCTCCTCGCCAGGGAAGAAGAAAATGTTTAAACAACCGAACATTCCCTTAACATTTGCGTTCACCCCCACCTCCACCATCGCTTCTCCTCCCCTCCATCCTCCTCCTCCTCCCCCCTCCTCCTCCTCCTCCCCCCCTCCTCCTCCTCATCTCCTCCTCCTCCTCCTCCTCCTCCTCCTCCTCCTCCTCCTCCTCCCTCCCCCCTCCTCCTGCTCCTCCTCCTCTCACTCCTCCAGTGCCACGTCAACAGCAGGCCGAGTGGCACTGATATCCGCGCTCGGGTAAAAGCCGGCTGGCACTGAGCTCGGCCGGGTCGTGCTGGCGGGTCCTACACAGGCCCGAATAAAATTAGCTGTTCTCGAGAGGTGAAAACTTGGATTTAAATGGAAGAGAGAGAGAAGAGAGAGGGAGGGAGAGG